AATATTTCACTCACTTTTTGCATACTAGTTAAATCAATGAATGGATGGATCTGTCAGAACAATGAACAATTCAGCAAGTAGACATGGTCGCAGCTGTGCGCCTCACAGCGCTCATCCTTGTCTTCGTCTTTGGGCTGTCTTCAAATAAAGCTTTTTCTAAAAGCCTCAGGTGGTGGAAAGCAGGATGTCTGATTGAAGGAGCTTCATTCGGTGTGAAGCCAGTTCAGCTTGGTTGTCAGGGTGTAATGATAAGTGCTCTTGTTGAGAGTTTGCTGATATTAGAGGACATAAGGGATTAAGATAAGGGGTTTCAGATCAATCCATATTAAAGTTTGATTACTTTTTTGGTTTGAATATCTGAAACGCTGCTAAACTGGTGGTGTTTCCTGTTTCAGCTACAGCTTTCACTCCATGCCATTGTTTTATTTTTAAGCCTTTATGAGGCCTGGTAGCAAATCCTAATACTGCTGCTGCGCCAGTTACTAAACAAGTTGTTGGGCAACCAAAGTCTGAGTCAGTTGCTCGGTAATTAAAGAGAATGAGTCAGTTGTTGGCGCCCACCTTGCTTTGCTGGCTATGAGAGGTTGAGCTGCAAAAGTCTTTCCTTTGCTCACATCCCCAAGAATGCTGTGCAGTTCTGGAATGGAGTTCAGAGAAAATTGTATATATTGAATATTTCAGACATACTATCTACTGATTTTGATCACGTGCCAATCATGATATATATTCTTACTAATTTATTGTCCAGTCCTAATCCATACGCAGTCGGGACAAATGGATCTGAAATATTGGAAGAAATACATGTTTATTGTTTATGGGTAGAATTCAAGAAGGTCTCAGTCTCTTTTCTTTTTTAGAAAATTAATTCAATTAGTTTTGTTCAGCAATTTGGTAAGAAACAAGAAAAGGCTAGAATTTTCCATCCAAGCTTAATCTGCAGCCAGCTGACCAGAACTGAGCCACAATAAGTGAGAGAGGGGCATTACTGCCACTCTATGCTCCAACCTGCCAGAGAAAATTTATTCCAGGTCTCTCTTTGGTGTCTCATAAAACCGATTTTGAACTGCAGGAATGGCATAAAGCATTTTAAACCACAACTTTTTGAAACCACTTTTTGCTTCGCCTTCTGTTATTTTTTGTTTTTCTCATTCATGGTTTTTTGATGATAAAACTGCACCTACTTTTTCACTACAATACTCAAAAGAAAGATGTGATTGCCAGAAACTTGAATGGGGAAACCAAACCCAAGTAGAACTTATTGATTTCACACAGGCAGCTGTTTGTGTCGTTTTGACATAAGCGAGGAATCACTTCATCAGTTCCCTCCATGTTTCACATCTGGACTCCATCATGGGGACGTTTCTGACCCCAAACACAAATAACTACAAACACTTCCTGAGGCCGACAGCATCTGTCAACCCCTCTGCTGCCCGATTCCCTCTGATGACGGACCAGCCTGTCGTCCCAGCAGGCCAGCAGAGTTAATGCTGACAGACAGATACCTCGTTAGCATTATAGCTTCTGCCAAAGGGCGAGCATCTATTGTTAGCGTGATAGCAGGGCCTTGGAGCAAACGGTTATTCTCAGTGTGACACCACTCACAAGGGCCAAAGTTGTTGAGAGGGTGTTAGCTTGGGCAATAGAGCTCAGAGGACAGAAAAAGGACACCTGTCACTTTGGTCCTTATGGATGAAGAGGTCAGTGGTGTGAGCATTGTGACTAGAGTAGTAAATTTCCCAGTAAATGTGGAGTGCAGTCTTGCTGCATAAGGTTGAGCTTCCAAGATTGACATTACCTTGAAGCACCAATCTTGGTGAATGCTGGTACTGAAACGTCAACGTAAAAACCATCAAACTACTGAACCCAGTTATTTGGTGTCTAGCTCGGTTAAAACTGCAGTGATCTGGAGCATAGCAGGGAGCAAAAGGTCAATTGTGGGAATTGAGCAGTGTGCACACAAGCCTTACTGACAGTGCTAAGATCTTCCTCCTGGATCTGATTGGCTGTTTCTAGTCAACACTGAATGTAATGGAGAGTGCAGAGGAGCTCATTTTCTCTGAGATTCAGTCTTATTTCTTACTCTCACAATGTAGTAACAGTTTCAACAAATAAGTGACAAAATATATTTTTAGAAAGTTATGTACTATATCTTTAAAGTGAAACAAACCAATATGTCTGGGGACAGTTTGGGTCTACTGACCTTAGATGGGATTGATTTTGAAGGACTTGTCCTTCTGAAAGTCCATGAGGTCATTCAACCCTGTCACAACTTAACATTTTTACTTTTCTGAAAAAACAAAAAAATCTAACTGGATTAATTAAAACAAGAAGTAAATATTAACCTGTTATGAGAACTTAGAACAATTTTTGGATCAAGTTATGTGCTGTTTCCATTTACCACTAGATGATTTTATTTTTTATATTGTTTTAGCTCTGAAATACAAAAACAAAGTCTGTATGTCTGTCCCACAACACCCCAACTAGAAAATGGATTAAATTCATTCATAGTGAGCCACATGAAATGGCTTTTTGGTTATAATTTTTGCTCTTGAGCATTTTTGTATGATTTATAAAGTCTAAGCTTCTAACATTTTTAAACCAGAAAGGTTTTCTTGGTCTAAACCAGTTTCTGAGCCCTGGTCCTCAAGGCACACCACATTGCATTTTTTTATATTTAGTTTTCCATCTTTAGACACTTAATCTTCTGCCTCTAAATCAGTCGTGCTGAAACAGAGAAACATCTATAGGGCACTGAGCCTCGAGGACCACGGTTGGAAAACCTGGTCTAAACATCTTATAAATGCATCAGCACAATGTTTGTGAGCGTAGCCTCAATATTGAAAATCTGTACAAATAATTAGACTTTTAAGTCAATAGCTGTCTAATGCAAGTAAAAAAGATTTCAAGCTGTAGCAAAAATCATGTGTATGAACATTTGTAACATATTTGGTGCCGTTAGTTGTTTTCAAATGGCCCAAAACTATTTTAGTCTTGACAAACGTAGGACTGAATATAATCTGTTTCAACAGAGTTTCCTGTTGCAGAGGAGACATTTACTGCTCATGACCTCATAGATAAATTCTCACTTTACAACTGTGTTTTTTTTCTCACACTAATGAACTTTTGCTTTGTAAATTCAACTTCTGATTTAGTATCACAAAATCAGCCCAGAAAATCTTCATCACTTTTCTTGGTTCTGTATGAACACAGACTGTGACTCATTATTGGATGACTAAACCTTGTCCTGTACAAAATGCCTTCAGTTCTGAATGGATTGTTGCACTTTGTGTTGTATTCGTTTAAAATAAAGTCTGTTAAGCTGCAGGCTGTAAGGTCAGACTTCGCTCTCTCTCCTTGTTTCCATCTATACTGTGTCTGCTTATAAAAGGCAACAACACTTTTAAACTAGAGGACATTTTCTGTCTCATTGGGTTTGGGCTGAAATGTTAACTTTTCAAACAGCATATGTGAATAACTGAATGAATGAATGAATGACCTTGTTAAATTACTTTTTTATATGCATTCTCTTTATCTGTATGAGCATCATGAGATTAAGATGTGTTTAGGGCGACTGGTTGTCCTTATAACATTAAGATTTAATGCAAGTTGTTTTTATTGACAGCTGCCTCAGCCTGGACATCTTGTTGCTATCAGCAGCACTCAGGCTTCTCTCCTTAAGAGTGAATTTTCTGGGTTACAATATATACCCTGCACACTTTAATTCAGTCTGAATTCTGGAGAAGCAAAATATAAGACTTTGGCTTACACAATGACTTGTGCTGCTGCAACAGCAAGTATTATTTTGTCTTAATCCCAGACTGTGAAGGAGCTCTGCATGAAGTAATTTGATTATTTCCATTGTGTGGGTGAGGATTTACTATCAGGAAGCCTTTTGTGTGAGAAGAGGGAGTGTGCTTCATCAGCTCCAGAGCAGTGGAAATTTACATCAGTTCACCATGAAGATAAGGCCTCTTTATCATCTCCAAGTGTACCATCAAATGGAGATTTACTGTTCGGTGTTGCATTTGCAATAAAAAGGGAAATTGGGTAAAAATGTTCCAAATGTGGAGCCTGCAGGATTTTGTATGTTTAGAAATTGCAGCCAGAGCCAGAAAAAAAGAAGTCATGTTTAATGGCATGGCTGAAATCTGAGCTCAGTTTCACTGACCTGAATGTTTGGGTGACAGCCTCGACTCAAAAACAAGTTACACACTAAGACAAAATGTTGTTGGAAAGAGAACAGTGTGATGGAAGAGGACAGAAGGTGAACAGCAGCCCAGAGGGTGGAGAGAATCACACTGACAGAGAAATGGAGACAGATTGGGTTTTTTTAGCGTTCTTCTTGAAAGAAACACAAAAAAAGATGAATCCAGGAGCTGTTTTACTGCAGCAGTCTCTAAATGTCACTGGACCTTTGGGAGGTTATCACCAAGGATCTTAATCTCAACATTTATTAGTCCTGGAGAATGGAAGCCACAAATTTTGCAATAAAGTCATGTGTTGTTCCTTACAGCTATGCATAATGTCAGCATCTGATGGATTATGTTTTGCATAGCCTGGTTGATTCACTGGAAACGTGCTTAATTTACATTTTGTTTTTAGTGACGTTTTTCAAAATCACTCAATCTACACAACAGTTGAATGGGAACATGGCTAGTAACTGTGCATAACCATTATGCATAAATATTTAGTTTGCTAACTAAATGTCTAGTTTGCAGCTACATATTTAATTTTACTTTCAGAGTTTTACTATATTATATCCAATTATTTTCACTTGCTGTTTTCATTTTTCTCAAGCCATTTATCAAATTATTCAAACATTACGATGCCTGCCTTAAGAATAGCTGCAACCTGCTCCCTGTTGTGGCCTGCAACATTATGCAAGTCAATTCAAAGAGAAGACTATGATATCAATATGTTAAACTCTGAATATATTATCAAGAAGTTTGCTAACATTTCCTTTATTGACCTGTCTTCTCCCACTCCCACATCTCTCCCAGTCTGTTCCCAGTTCTCTAAGGGCGTGTACACCATCATGGGCTTGTATGACCGGAAGACGGTCAACATGCTGATGTCCTTCTGTGGCTCTCTTCACGTGTGCTTCATCACACCGTCCTTCCCAGTTCAGACCAACAACCAGTTCGTACTGCAGTTGCGGCCCCAGCTGCAGGAGCCCCTCATGGCCCTTTTGGAGCACTTCAAATGGAAAAGGTTTGTCTACATGTACAGCTCTGATTCAGGTGAGAGCACAAGACACAGCATGCAGGACAAATTGCTTTCATATGCTAATTGCACATTCATGCTTTATGCACTTCATGTCAGACATTACTGTGCAGACATTCTTCAAGCTGCTTTATGTCCAAATGACAAAACATTTTTTCTGGATTTGCAGAGAGGCTAACTCTGTGCATAGATAGTACGGAAGATTTAATCATATACAATTCTGTCATAATGCACTTTTTCTTTTGACCCTCAAATTTATGCAATATCCATCTCTAGCCAACTGTGACAAATAAGGAAACTAAGATAAAAGGAAAAGTCCTTGATTATCTGACTTCACAGTCAATACTGTAACTGTATTGACATCAGACCACCACATCCATTAAATATCAGCATATTTAAAGAGTGTAGCTGTGAAATGTCACATTTCTGAAAGTTTCATTGTATCAAATTGATTGTCTATTACTATGAACACTGGTTGATATGCTCATAGGTCCTTGCACCAATTTGTGAAAGAAAAAATAAAACAAAGTGAATTATCATATAGTTCATGCACTTATTTTATCGTTATCTTTTAAACATTTGTTACAAATATTTAACAGGGATTTAACATGTGGTGAATTCTGCATTAAGGGATGAAATACTAAAATACATCTATTTGTTTTTTGGTTTTTACTACACCTTATTTTTAATTTTAATAATTGTTTTTACCACCGTTGAATATAGCAATGGTATTTAAGCTCTATCTTGAATATATATGTTTTGAAATCACAATTCTCTACAGTAAAAATGAATGGATAATACATTTACACAATTATTTTAAATGACTATTTGTTAAAGTGGGTGACAAACATCTCCAAATTGATGCAGTGTCAATGTGAAGCAATTTTACAGTTTCTACAGGAAAATTGTAAAATTTTGGAAAAATGATTTAAGTCTCTTTCAAATACAACAACAAAGGAGCAAAGTGATCAGCATCACAAAGGTAAGGTTGAAATGTTCTTACATGTCAAACAATTACCACACAATAGTTAAAACTTGGAATTTTAGTCAAATTACAAAATTTCAGCTCTTACTAAACATTTTACAATTTCAGGGTTCATGTGTTTTCTTAGAAATCTTCCTTTTTTAAAATTTAATACATTGCTGTATTAATAAAATGACCCCCAGTCGAGCCTCAACCTGGATGTCTGCAGGAGCTGGAATGGATTGACTGAAATGTAAATAAAAGGTGGAAGTCAGTCAGGATTGGATTTTTTAAAAAGTATTTTAATGAACTGTTTCTGCCTCTTTCATAGTCTTTTGATGTTTGTTGTTACCAACTAGCTATAACTTATGATGTGGTCAAAAGTACAATTTATGGTCCCTAAATTGACCAAAATATGATGAGACTGTTCATTGTTCTGCTGTCACATGGTTTCATTGCTGTGTATGGTTGTGTTCTGAAAAATGCTCGTTACTGTAGAGGGTCTTTAAATTACAAAACTAAGGGGATTTTATTGAATATAAAGTCCAGTTCTTTCTTTGAAGTGTTACCCATCAGAATAGTTCTTGTGTTTTGTGATACTGAGGAGTTCACACTATAGTCTCTTTCACATTTGCAGATGATCTAGGAATAGACTTTCAGTGCTCTGAGTTGGTCCAACCAGAAAGTATGTCGAGCTTCACTTTACTTTTAGTTTCAAGTAAACTTGTGATTCCACTTCAGAGTAAATTCTATCTGTCAAGACATATCTTGAGAAGAGTCCTGATGCAAATAACAAGCAGTTTATTCAGCAAGATCATTTCATGATTATAAACTATTTCTCTGAAATATTCCCCAGAGGAAGTTAAAATCCACATATGAAGACATTTTCTGAAATTCAAAGTGAAGCTCATTTTCTAAAGAGGCCAGCATCATTATTGGATACTACAGTTTAATTTTACAATGACAGACCCAAACAGACTTTCAAAATACTCTGTTATCTAACCAGCTACAGCATCAGTACACAAAGTTACATTATACTGCCGATTAATGATTGCTTAATGAAATAAAAATCAGACTAAAAACTGAAATTATTTTAAGTTGAGGACATTATTTAAAATTATATTTTTATGGTTTAATAACTGCCACATTTGTGCTATTCTTATTTTCAGTTTTAACAGAAGAAATTACACAACAAAAATAAATATTAGTTTATTTCCAAAGTACCATCATTGCTGCTGAGTTGTCATTAAATGTTTATGTGACACAGAGGAACATCATCTCAGCCTATTGCTGAGTGTCAGACATGTGACCCGGGTGACAGGCGTAAGTAACTTGGATGGAGGTCAGAAAGCAGAGCAAAATGGACCACAGGGAGTACATCCCTGCACAAATGAGGTAGCTCGAAAAAAAAAAAAAAAAATATATATATATATATATATATACACTCCTGATCAAAATCTTAAGACCAGTCAAAAAATTGCAAGAATTAGCATTTTGCACTAATGAATCTTAAGAAGGTTCTAAGTAGAGCTTCACAATGTTAAAAGAAAACAATCAGTGCAAGAGACAAGAACAATTGAGCGGGGAATTTTCTGAAAACTGCATTTACACTCAAACATGATTTTTTCAGCTGATCAAAAGTTTAAGACCATAGTCTTTAAAAGCCAAAAGCTGTGCAAAAATCTGGATTCCATGTCATTTTCTGTGAAGTCTTTACACTGTCAAGACCTCCTGATGGCAAAAGCAAAAAAGTTCACTGACTTTGAACGTGGCAGGATTGTTGAGCTGCATAAGCAAGGCCTCTCACAACGTGCCATTGCTGCTGAGGTCGGACGCAGTAAGACAGTCATTTTGCATTTCTTAAATGATCCTGAGGGTTATGGAACAAAAAGTCAAGTGGTAGACCCAAAAAAATTTCACCAGCTCTGAGCCGCAGGATCCGATTGGCTGTCCGTCAAGACACGGGACGATCCTCTACCCAAATTAAAGCCATTACTGGTGCCGACTGCAGCCCGATAACCATCAGACGGCATCTGCAAGGGAAGGGCTTCAGAAACAAAAAACGTCTTCAAAGGCCACGTCTTCTTCAACTCCACAGAATTGCCCGTTTGGACTTTGCAAGGGTGCACCAAACATGGGACATTGAAAGGTGGAAGAAAGTTGTCTTCTCTGATGAGAAAAAGTTTTGGCTTGATGATCCTGATGGCTTCCAACGTTACTGGCATGACAGGGAGATCCCACCTGAGATGTTTTCTACACGGCACAGTGGTGGGGGCGCCATCATGATTTGGGGTGCGTTTTCCTTCAATGGAACAATGGAGCTTCAGGTTGTGCAGGGGCGTCAAACAGCAGCTGGCTATGTGGAGATGTTGCAGCAGGCATCCCTCATGACTGAGGGCCCTCGTCTCTGTGGTAATGATTGGGTTTTTCAACAAGACAATGCTGCAGTTCACAACGCCCGCCTGACAAAGGAGTTCTTCCAAGAGAATAGCATCACTCTTTTGGACCATCCTGCATGTTCCCCGGATCTAAACCCAATTGAGAACATTTGGGGATGGATGGCAAGGGAAGTTTACAAAAATGGACATCAGTTCCAGACAGTGGATGCCCTTCGTGAAGCCATCTTCAACACTTGGAGCAACGTTCCCATTAGCCTCCTGGAAACACTGGCATCAAGCATACCTAAACGATTGTTTGAAGTCATCAACAAGAATGGTGGAGCTACTCATTACTGAGTCCTTTTTTTGATACTTTGATTTCTGTTTTGGGGGGTTTTCGGGTTTTTTTGAGATATGGTCTTAAACTTTTGATCAGGTGGAAAAAGTCATGTTTGAGAATAAATGCAGTTTTCAATTAATTCCCCGCTCAAAAGTTTTTGTCTTTTACGCTGATTTCTTCTTTTAACATTGTGAAGCTCTACTTAGAACCTTCTTAAGATCCAATAGTTCTAAATGCAAATTCTTGCAATTTTTTGACTGGTCTTAAGATTTTGATCAGGAGTGTATATATATATATATATATATATATATATATATATATATATATATATATATATATATATATATATATATTTTGGATATGATCCATATTGTCTTGGTAAAAAGACTTGTCATATAATCTTGAGGATTTACCCGGCTTTGAGGTGATGGATTTAGCTAATCTGGTGCAGCAGACCCCCTATAATACAACGAGTCTAATAAAACTGCTGGAACAACCGTACATGACACCGACTTTAGTCATTTTGAAGCTGGGTCAACAGAAGTAAACGGGCTGCATTTTCTTCCTGCCCTCCGTCTGTATTGTGTAACTTTGGTGCTACATCATCTGAAACCCAGTGATTACATACTGGAAAACTGCCTAGTACCTATTTTAGTTTTCGTATAAAACTAGCCGCTTTATTGTCACAACTTTTAAACATTAAATCTTTGATCAATGATGGCCTTAATGGACCAATGTATGATGTAGAGGTGAAACCAAAAGTGTTATTACAATTTGAACCATGATTATTTGAAGTCAAGAGCCAATGGGGGGGTGTAAGTGGTTCTGATTCACCATTTTTCTTATAGTTTTGAAGAAAATACTAAATCAACTATAAAGGAAACTGTAACATCTAAAATGAATATACATCAGATGCTAAAATGAAACCATATATGTGTGACTCGTCTGGTTTCATTTTCTTTTCCTTTTGTCCTTTTGAATCCAGGACAAATAAATGTGTTTTTGTGTGTCTGTGTGTTGGTGCAGGCAGAGAAAATTCACATCTGCAGTCTCATGCTTTATCACATTAATATATAAATGAACTCATACTCCTATTCTGACCTTTAATCAGCTCACAATCAGATGTAAAAAATATCAACTCTGACTCATCCCATAATCCTGTTACCATGGTTACATCCTTACACTATAAAAGCCTGTTTCCTTCCCAGCTCTGCTCAATTGATGCATCTTTTTTTTCTCTTTCTTCTTCCTTTTTGTTGCCTTTCTTGCGGTTGGCCCATCTTAAGGAGACATTTATTTTACAGCAGTGGGAAATCGTCAGAATTAAACGTACTA